CTCCCATTGACGGAGGGAGAGTTCCCCTCAAACAAAAGCAGATTTGCTTTGTAGAGCATTACACAAATTCTCAAACCATTATCTTGGTTGATTGGGCATCGAATATAACAAAGAGCTTTTTTGATGCTTATGGAAACAAGGGCTTTTTAGGTTGGCAAGTAGTGGCGTAGCTAGGATTTCACACATTCGAATTCTGTGCTCCTTACGTAAACTGGCCTACACTCCTGCTCTATTTTGTGTATCAACAAGCTCGTGTTCACACCGCGAAAATGACTGACGAATAGAGTATGATTAGAGCCATGCGGATTCTGTGCATTCGCGCGGTTTTTGCCAAACGGAATTATAAGTTTTATCTATTGTTCTAACAAACAATCTTTTCAACCACCAAAACGCAACACCATCGACTGCAGAAGTGCCATTACTTAACTCCTTTAATAATTAGCCTACAGAGTTAAAGATTACGATACGTACAGCACGCCAAAAGTTACTATGGTTGTGATGATTCAAACTATGAAAAATTTTCAAATTTTAAAGGATTAATTCGATGTCAAAACTAGAAATTAAACTTAATAGGTTCTAGAGGAACCATACTCCGACAAAAGTCCAACGTTCATTGCAATAAAGTCACAAAAGTAAACTGAAGTCTTGATATCTTTGTTTGAACTCTCAATTCCTATTTGATCTTCGCTGATCTAAGAGTAACGAGCCTAACGCTTTAAAGAATTACGAATTTATGATCATTGAACTTTATGTGTTACCAATATTCAGTTCTGCTGTACGTAGCTGAGCAAGTGCATTCTGAGCAAATCTCACTTTCTCATCTTCAGGGCCAAAGTTCTTGACATAAATCGCCAACGCAAGATCATAGCACTCTTTTGCTTTTCGGCTGAGACCGAGATAATTGTGCACATCGCCCAGTTTTATGTTAGTATCTGCTACCCTGACGTGTTCCGGACCGAATATCTTAAGGCGAACATCCAGCGCTCACTCGTGAAAGTCTTTTGCCTGCTTTAGGTCACCCAGCTGCTCGTGCACAATGCCCAGGTTGTTGTTAGATATTGCGACATCAACGTGCTCAAATCCGAGCTTTTTCAGCCAAACATCCAGCGCTCGCTCGTGACAATCTTTTGCCTGCTTTAGGTCACCCAGCTGC